GACGCTTAAGGCAACAGAGGAAGAAAAAGTAAAAGTAAGTATTATTGAAACAACCTTTCAGCATCCTATATAATATAGACTCAACATGGTTACACAATCTTCATTTTATATTACAGTATTTTTTTTTTGCCAACCAGGGAACAGTAGCTTCACAACGTGCAATGAATAACACGAATAGAAGATTAATATTGCACCTAGGCATGTAGTCTCCATAAGCCTATCAATAAAACCACTGTAAAAAATATCAAATAACATTACTATAAACATGTCAATAACATTATTGTATGACCAAAAACAAAATAAGAATGCCAATAACGTAACAGTATGCAAGTAAACAAATTAAAAATAAAATCGTTTTATTTATGCACATTATCGATAACATAATTGTACAATGTCAATAACAAGATTGTAAGCAAATTGCAACCATTATTATTGCAAACTAGTTAATAAACTTAATGTAATCACATCATCATTAGCATATTGAATATACACCAGCAGTATATTAAAGGTGCATAGAGCTTGTTGTTGAGCTAGGATATGCCATATTATACAGATGCATCAACAACACTATCAGCACACAAGCATAGGGCTAGCCATTAGCTCAGTGGGTATCATGCTGGACCACAGAGTGGATATTGTTGGTACAAATTCCCTATCAGGCATTCTGAATTTTGGTTGCTTTGGGGAGTTTTAACGCTCTCCGCCCATTTGGCTAATTTCACCATAGATGGGCATTCAATTCAAAGGTCCTGCTTCTTAAATGTATACCCTCACAGTGTTAAGAGGGACTTTAGACCTATACAATATCGCACATCGGCATATCGATAACATCACCAGAAGCATACATCAGTCACATCATCATGTGCTTACTGAATGTTTTTCAAGTTTCATTATCAATGTCAGGTTGTTGTTTTTTATATAAGGAGGGATACTGGCGTCTGTGGGTAGCAAGCAGAAAACACGGGTTCGAATCCCGTGTGGGGAGGTTTTAATCGTGTGTCTTATTTTAATCGAGTATCTCTCTTTGTATATATGAGTGTAGTCCAGAAGGATATCAACTGAGCTAATGGCACATCTCAGTAAGCATCATACAGGTATCAAAAACATTATCGTCAGCATATAATTCAAACTTAAAATGTATACAATAACATAAGAAGAAGAATCTCACAAACCTTTCCTGAACCTACAACACTATATGTATCACGATGTGGTGGAATCAGGCGCTCTTTAAATTTTTTTTATCCTATACGGTTATTGGTATCATATTAAAGCCTGTTCACTTGCCTTCATTTCAGTGAAAAGAATAACCATCTATGTGGCATAAAAGTCAAAATATTTGCGATTGAAGGAGAATAGGATCACCTGGCTTTAAAGGTAAAATTAGAGAGAAAATGGCCGCCAAAGTTTTATAATTTCCAAAGCCTGAGAGTTCTCGGAACCTGGAAATTCACATTTTTTGTGCCTTTAATCAATGTTTTTCAATATAATCCTCACAGAAATGTGTTTTTAAACGGCCATAAAAGGTGTTGTGCCCCAAAAAGAAAAAAAATTGCCCTTGGCCCAAAAAAATGCAGATTTCTTTGATTTCATTATTTTGACGAGCGCCTGATTCCACCACCATGCCTCACAATTATTTTTTCAGGAGACAGAATGTTTACCACTTCAGCCTGATAGATAAAAAAACATGTTATTTTAAAAATGTAACACGCAGTTTACAGCTCTCTGTTCAGTTCTACGTGTGATTTTGGCTGACAAATAAAACTATTACGCATAATCAATAAAACTTTGGCAAAAGAAAAACATTCTCCATAAAAATATAAAGCATTGACAGAATAAAAACATTCTCCATAAAAATATAAAGCATTGACAGAATAAAAACATTCTCCATAAACAATAAAACAGCCACCCATATGATTATTAACAAACTTTTGCGTAGTCGTTGCAATTCATGTTTTAATTTCGACAGTATAGTCTATCAAAAATCTTGCAAACTGACTGGGAAAGAACCCCCTTTAGTTAAAAGCATTGAAAACGCCATGCCTTCCCCTATCATATTATAATTTGATTCACGGGGCAAACCCCCCCCCCCCCAAATAAAAAGAGTCTGTCTCAGGGGGAAAGGGGCAATAACAAGGAGAAAGTGTACGTGTAAAATAGAGATGAGTGCGAATATTTTATTCCTTCACTGTCCCACTAGTATGACACCCGTGCCAACCTGGGCTGTGAGTGGTGCACACGATAGCCCAGCAGGCAGACTGAGATACTTGATAAAAGGAACATTCCCAACTGATCTAACATCTTGTGTACGAAAGGCAAATATCCATATTAATATTTGTCACTATATAGATTAAACGCCCCTTTCAACAAAGTAAATATATTATAAAAATCAATAAATTCCATTTGATTGATCCAATGATTATTGATTATTGGGTTACGCACACACACACACACACACACACACACACACACACACACACACACACACACACACACACACACACACACACACACATACACACATACAAACACAATGTAGAGTTAATATGTACTTCAAAACACAAATACAATTTTCAAAACAAAATAAAAAAATATACAAATATTATCTTTATCTAAATTACTGAAAAAGACAAAACATCACAGGAATACCTTTTAACAAACTCCAGTTGGGCAGGGCCCATTTTTCAGCTTAGGGTTACCATGTTTTTTGGGGGGTTTTAGTAGAGGTTTTATGGCGCTCACAACTGCATAAGGTCATATGAGTGACAAAGGGTGGATGTCAATAGAGAAGTCTTTAAAGGGAATCAGCTAACTCTGCTCACCTCTCTAGCTTCAACAGCACAAAGTCTGCTTCGACTATCAAGGCACCCTGGAAATAGCGGTCACACGAGTGTGACAAACATACAAAAGAAGTAGAGGAAAATGACGATAGTAAAGATAAGGAAAGAAAAAGCAGCAGTTCCCAGTTGCAGTTCAGGCACAGTTATGAGCATAACATTGATGAATCAGCCCATTTACAATTCTACTGTGCAACAGAACACGTTAATGCCCCCCCCCCTCCTTTGGGAATGGCCTAAAGACACTTCAGTTAGTAGCACCGCCCCGGGGGGGTTACCGTGTTTTTTCTCAGGGATAGACCAGAGAGACCTTCATATTTAACATACATCTCTGATAGGAATAAGCTAAGCAACAGAAATAAGGGCCAAATGGGTCGGAACCTTGAAAACTCCTTTAAAAAGTTCAGTAAGACCCACTGGGGATACGAACTGAGGCCATCTGCCCGCAGTCCAATATGACACTAACTGAGCAAACAATACTTTTGCAAAGAGCCTTACTAAAATACAGTAATTTGTTACAAACAGCAGGTGAAAGACGTGCAATTCTTTCATTCGATGAAATTACAGATAATGGCATCAAAGTTTCTTGAGGAGTGTCAGATAAGAGTCATTGTTATTATAGTGCGGTCAAAAATTCAAGGCCCAACTTACGGTCAAATGTTTCTTAAACTATCGAACATAGACTCTCAAGCTTATGCAAAATGACGTGTATCAATTTGTCCTAACAAATCAAAGTTTTTGTAAACAGGTGTTAGCTGTATTCAATAAAATTCTTTTATGACCATTAAAAAAAATCTCCAAGTGGGTGGCTTCTACAGATTTTATAAGGTTTACATCTGGAGCAATATCGCTACTAAAGCAATCCCGTCATGTTTTTCAAATCACAACGTAATGCTTACTGAATGCATATTTTGAGAATCTTTAGTATAAAAAAGTGTTCACTATAAAACTCATTTCTTGTAACAAGTTTTGCCACCAAAAAGTGTCACTGGTGAGCTCTGAGTAGGCCATATGCGTGTGCAAAATGTTTGTGAGAAGAAGGAAGTGATGTGAACAATCTCATTTTCCGTGTGACGGAGATTTATAATATTTTATATGAATTGATGAAAGTTTTCTTTTTTAACCTAGCCTCTGTTTTTGAGGAAAAATATGATCAAGTTGAGACAAATTGATACAAACAGCTGTGCAAAGTATGGGGGACAATGATTAACCCATTAAAGAGATATTTGTGGATAAGTTGCGCCACGAATTTTTGACCCCACTATCATAAATAAGTACACATAAATTGTGAGAAATATCTCGACATAGAAATCATCCAAGTATTTTGCACCAACAGTAGAGAATGACAAGGAGGATGTCCATATCAGTACATTGTACTCCATGTATAGTTATATTGTTGTCTGAAGATTTGGATAAAGTAAAAGGCAATCAGACGAGAAGTCTCAGGATATCACACTGGCCATAAGGTAGAAGACATAGATCTACGTATAGAAGATAAAGTCTGTTTTAAAAAAAAGTTTTAGTTGTCTCAAATCTTGGAAGATGACAACACCCCCTGGTGCAGGTAACATGAACTCAGATAGACAGAGCAAAGTTGACTGAAGGTAGAGATGATTGAACATCACAGAGACAGGTCGCTACCTCAGAATTACAAAGTTCTATCTGATATTTTGAGTTACGAAGACCATGAGATATAAAAAAAATATAAAAAAATCAAATGCTCTATCTGCTTTATCACAATTGTAAGATTATTCGGAGTCATTATCAAGATATTGAAAGAAAAGTTTTCGAAAAAACCTTGACGTAATGTGAAACTAAAATCTTTGACGTCAATTTCTCAAAAGTAGAAACTGAGCAGATAGAGCTTTGTAATTCCGAGGCAGTGGGGTGGGGAGCTCTGTTTGGCAGCCTATCCTTCTCTTGCTCTTTTTAACTCCCAGTGGAACATAGGCCATCAACAACATTTCTCCAGGAAGCCTGCCCTGTGCATCCTTTTCTAGCTGTTTCCATGATGTCCTCGCCTTTTCCATTTTCGCTTGTACCGCTCGCCTCCATGTCATCTTTGGTCCTCGTTTCATACGTTTTCCTTGTGGATTCCACGCCAAAGCCTGACTGATGATGCTTGTCGGGGGTCTCCTCAGGGTGTGCCCAATCCATTTCCTATTCTTCACCTGTATATCTTCCTTTACTGGCCTTTGGCTTGTTCTCTCCAATATTGTAGCCTACACTCAGGTTTTTATTAATCTGTCGCCACAGCGTGGTGAAGCCAGGAACTCGTCAAAATAATGAAATCAAAGAAAACAGCATTTTTCTGGGTGTTGGGTAATTTATTTTCTATTTTCTATTTTAGGATCAACACCTTTTATGTCCTTTTAAAAATGCATTTCTGAGTAGATGTCACCGCAAAACCCCCATTAAAGGCACAAAAAATGTAAATTTCCAGTCTTCAAGGACAGTCAAACTTTGGAAGCCAACAAAGCGGCCTTTATCTTGCTAGTTTTAACCTCTCATACCAGGCGACCACCACCACCTTCAACTGCAAATATTTCGACTCTAATTCAGGATAGAGGGGTATTTTTTCACCAAATGCAAAACAAATGAACACGCTTTCAGATTATCTAAATAACTCTATATGCCCAAAATTTGACGAGAGCCTGATTCCATCGTGTTGTGACACAATTATTTAGATCATTTAGGAGGCTGAGAGGTATACAACATCTCAGTTGACAGACTGCGATACTTGACAAATATTCTCCCCACTTGGGAACCATACTCAGGTCCTTTGCAGCAAAGCACCTAATCACTGCACCATAGATGCTGGTGCGCTTTTATTCTCGGACGTATGTAATGATGTACTCTGGGTAGCAAACATCTCCGTCGTAGATCACAAACTCCCGAAACAACCATCCTTGGCCCATCACAGAGTCAAAATGCTTCTTGTTCCTGCACCTGCACAGGGTTTTGAAACAAGCCTTGCAAGGTGGGCGAACCAAAGTAGGGCCTCTCTCTGAAGGATAATAGAAAACAAATCTAAATTATGATTATAATATAAGTTAATATAACATGAAAAACCCGGTTTTCCTACACACA